TACATACATACACATACACACACAAACACACACACACACACACACCAATAAGTAAGAAAGGAGGAAAAGAAAGTGAGACCAAGTGTGTGTGTTTGTGTTTGTGTGTGTGTGTGTATAGTACAGTATAAAAGGATGCAACAAAAGCACAATATATTTTTTCAGAGGAAATTTTAATTTAGAAGGATTTACTTTTCATTTTGTTGAAATCATGAGTCCATTTCATTCTCTAAGAATGTTATAAAAATTATATTACAACCTTCATAATGTTTACATACATACACATACACACACAAACACACACACACACACACACCAATAAGTAAGAAAGGAGGAAAAGAAAGTGAGACCAAGTGTGTGTGTTTGTGTTTGTGTGTGTGTGTGTATAGTACAGTATAAAAGGATGCAACAAAAGCACAATATATTTTTTCAGAGAAAATTTTACTAAGGAAGATTCAAAGACCATATGCCAAACAAGCAAAGAACTATTTAGAAGAAAATGGCGACCAATTTGCATAAATTATCTGTGGGGTCTGACTTTTGATATACCTTGTGTATAAAAGACCTGATAACATAATCACCAATACTGAAAAACCAATGAAAAATCAGGATGCTTCCTGGAGACATCTTTTCATAAACTACAGGGTAGCCACCTTGGAAAACAAGAAATTTACAAAGAGCAAAACAATTGAACGAGAATTCATTGGGGGAGTTTAAGATTTTCTTTTTACATTCCAGTCAGACTACATGTGTTAACTAATTTATCAGTAATTGCACCATGGTTAATTACTGCTTTTCTAATAGTCACAATCTAGAGGTAATTTTGCTTCTCACCTTTCCTTTTACTACTCAACCTTTCTCCATTTCTAATTTTCCACTCTCATCCCAATCTACTTTCTCTAAAAACCCTAACCTTTTCTCAGCACTGTACCAAACTATCTCTAATGAAATGGACTGGGATTCACAAAACCTTTGTCAGAAATTAGCAAACTTTTCAGACTTCAGACACTATCCTACAATTTTTGCACATGACGCAGATGCACAGAAATAAATGAAAATAAGACATTTTTAAAAATGCATTTGACATCCCTTGAGACTGCCAATTGGCACATGCCTATACGACAGTTGAAATCTTGCAAATGGAGCACTGAACTCTCACGAGACTTAATAATCTTCCTTGACTGGATGTTAAGCAAGCAATGTGGTCATTTACTCCGTGCTTTCAGGACATGAAGTAAAACTTAACGCTGTGCCTTCTCAGTTACTGTTCTAAATCTTCCCTTCGATGAGGATGGCAGAGTTTCTTCCCCACGCTTTCAGAGCAAATCTACCCCTTGAATCAAATATTTGGCTAAGCTATGTTTTTCTGAATTTATTAACTCCCTAATGTCTGCATCATAGGGATGCAGTGGCTCAGTGGCTAAGATATTGAGCTTGTCAATCAGAACGGTCAGCAGTTTGAATCCTTAGTGCTGCGTAATGGAGTGAGCTCCCGTTACTTGTCCCAGCTTCTGCCAACCTAGCAGTTTGAAAGCATGTAAAAATGCAAGTAGAAAAATAGGNTCATCCCTTGCGTCAGGGTGGAGTTGGGACGACTTAATGGAGCTGAGCATTTACTGGCGGGATGCCCTTCCTGATACCTAACTGGAGTTCACAGCAGATATTTTCTCTTTGTGCCCAGAGAGAGAGAAATATCTGCCACAACCTCATAGCCTTCTGATTGTGAGGCGACAGCGCCACCTTTAGGCCACCCTGCTGCTCAATCCTGTATATGACAAACACGTGGAGTTCTCTTCCCCCCCCATAGTAATTGGTGATGAAATATTATTTCTAATGACTTTCAATTCTAGCAGAGAACTTTGTTTAATGAAAAATGTCATAATTTGCCTCAAATTTTGTTTTCATGAGACAAAGCTTAATGAAGTTAGCAGTTGCCCCAAATGTTAAAAGTGAAGCAGCAGAATGTAGTCAGGGAGTAGATGGCTTTTGCTGAGCCCCAAAAGAAAATTTGGAAAAATGAAATATTTTTTCCCCCAAACATCCCCTGAGAAGGGATCAAAATAGAATTTTCCTAATATTTCAGGCCATTCCGAGAAACCACAAAATTAAACTTGCAGAATGGCAGCAGGTGATTTTCCTTGTTTTTCCTGAAATCTATTTTTCCGTTGTCCAGAAGGCTTTCTCTGCTGCACCAAAGTAGATGAAGAACAGATGTCAAAGAATCATTGCAACACTCTGTGCAGAAGATGGATGACTAAGCGTTGTCACTTTTGAACAACTTGGCTTTCAATAGGAAAATCTTTAAAAAATGAATCGAGACAAAATGCCAGCAACAAGACCGCAATATTTTTCCCCAAAAAATGTTCAAGGCAAATTAATGAGTTGTGGGTGCATCATACAATCTGCAGATGGGAAGATTCAGATCACTGAAGCTGCTTGTAGGAAACAGCGGGAACTCAAAATCCAACCAAGGCAGAAAACAGCAGGAAGCTCTGGCTACAGAGATGCTCATCTGGGAAGTAAACTCTTTTCTGGGATGGATGCAGGTCAGCCACAACGATGGAGAATATTTCTGGGTTGTGCTATGAAGTTGGATGATAACTTGTGCCCTAAAATCATCCCCCCCCCCACTGATTTAAAGTGTAATTTAGCTTTGTTGGAAATGACTTCCCTAACCAGGTGTTCTCCAGATGTGTGGGTCTACCACTGTTGTGAGTCTCAATCCTAGCAGTTCAACACCTCCAGAGGGTCAGGCTCTGGGCCAATTAAGAATTGGGCTGAAGCTTTCCCCAAACTCCACATAGCAGGATTAGGAAACAATCTTGCTGGAAACCAGAGATATTTCTACAAGGTTTAACCTCAACAAAGTACAGTAAAGAAATATTATACCTAATTTTACATATTATTACAGCGGCCAGAATATCACATGCATAAAAATGGAAAAATAAAACAGTACCTTAATGAAGACAAGGTAATAAGGAAGATCATAGTATGCATGGAGATGAATAAATTGACAAAGGAAATTCAAGGAAAGGAGGAATCAGAATACTATTTAGTTTGGGAAAAATGGTACAAATGGTTAGATAATAGAAATAAGAAATCAGGAAATGTAAAATGTGTAGTAGGAGAATTAGAATACAGCGATAAGATTGGGGATAGGAAAATAATTTAAGACACACAAACGTAAGAAAAATATATACAATATAATAAAGGTAATATTATATAGTCTGATACAAATGGCTAAACACAAACAACTAAGCAAAGGAGTAAGAAACAAGATAACCACAAATGCAAAATTAAAATGTATAGGAGGGGAAATGATAACTGCAAAGATGCACTGATAGATATCTGCTGTGAGAAGGAATGCTCCGTTCCGGTGCTGTTTGTAAGCTGCCTGTTCGTTTTTGTTGATGTGTTTAAATGTTTAAAATAAAATAAAAAAATTAAAAAAGGAAACAATCTTGATTGCAGCTGAGAATGAAGTTGCCTAAATCAGTTTAATGCCTTCTTATAGTTAAGGCTGCAACCCACATTTTATGCTCCTCAGCTGAAAATAAGTGGCTTTTCTCCTTCACTTTCAGGGGAGATTCCGGTCTGAAACACTTAATGGAAACCCTGTTTTATGTTAGGGCCATGTGGCTCTTGGCAATTGGCATTTGTGTCTAGAAAACTCTAGCTCTCAAAAGAGAATACAAATACCACTAGATCAGGCGGCTCCAACTTTGGCAACTTTAAGACTTGAGGACTTCAACTCCTAGAATTCCCCAGCATGAGGTTGAGAAACACTGCTTTCTTTGAGTGCATTTGTAACAGGCTGCTCAATTTTCAGTGAATTTTCGAGGAAGATTTAGGGAG